CTTATAATATTTGTAACATTGTTTTAACCAAAGATTTTGAGGTTTTGTGTTCTGCAAAAAGCTCACTTGTTTGATATTTTTCATTCATTCAATGCGAAATGACCTGGCATATATGCAAAATTTTTGTGCTAAATGCCGTACTCATGTGCCCAATGCCATATTATTGTGCCAAATGCCATTGTATTAGGAACATAGATTATCCTAGTTCAGATTTATCAATTGAAATAATTTCATATAATTTTTAGAATGTTTATAGCCCTTCCAATTCTAATTGCCATCAATACAACCCTATAGTTTTGTTCATGACGTATATTTGCACAAAAGATTCCTCTCCTTCTGGGTAATCGCAATCAACCCCCATACTGTAAGCCGTAATTAAATTTCTATTCACTGGAAAGTTCCCTCTGTTTTTTCCGATGTAGTTAGAAGTTCGTATTTCCTGATGTTTTAAATGTATTCTTGTTTATTTTTCTCAGATGCATTATACAATTCCAAATAGCTATTGTATAATATGTACTTATATAGCATCTGACAATATTCTTATTTACTGATCTGTAGTATACTTACTGCTTTTACTATAATTAACAGTACTCTATACGTATGCATTTATCTGTTCGTGGATTATTTAAATTCTCTCCCCTAGTCGTGTTTAGAAGTCAATAAGCTATTGCATTTTCGGTTCAGATGAAACTAGCTGCTGTCCTATGTCACAGAACCGCTCTAAGTCTTGCCGATCTGCGACCGGTTGTATCAAGGCCGTTTAGCTTAAATGGTGGATAAGTCAAAATTACAACTCTCTTGAATTAATCAACTTGAATATTATGCACTGAATTTGTAGTTGAAAACAATATCTTTGTATTAAGGTTAAAAACATTTAGTTTGTTTGTTGAATAAAGCGATAGACTGGCTTTTTATTTTGAGCTTAACCACCGTTTAAGCTAAACGCGTTTGATAAATCTGGCCCCTGCAGATTTTTTACAACTGCTGATTTTCATATTATCCGGATTTAACATTATCCTATACTTAATATTAAGACAAACCATGTCTGTATCTGTTTAGACCCTGCCCTATGGTGGCCGATAGCTATCATAAAAATTTTGATTAAATCAATATGAAATTTTCAAAAATATATAAATAAAACGAAATAAAATAAAAAACAAATGATAAAGCAAATTAAATTTTAAATAAAATGAAAATAAAGTGCTTTTAAAATCAAAGGCAAAGCCAAATTAAATTGAAATTAAAAATACTACCGGCCGAGCGCTATCAAAGCAAAATCAGATTGAAATAAAATGAAATTTTATTGATGATGTCAAACCAGATGATTGGGTGGATGCATATTTATATGTTCGTGAACAAATGACATACCAAACGCATGTCATTAAACCACAATAATTTCCAGCATGCAATTTAGAAGCAGTTGTTTTGTGTAATGTTATATTCAATTATTTTAAGGATTTATTTAAACAATTATAAACTGGATTTATTAAAACCTCACAACTCACAAGAGTACAAAGATAGAAACTAGACAGAATGATATTGCATGTTGTGGGTGATAGCTAAATTAATACTGCGTCTGCGTGTAAAAAGGACCAAAACAAGTTAAGATATGTCAGGGGATGTAGCTTTATGTTTTTCATCCAAGGTTAGAATAAGTACGTATAATAAAAACCGCCAATATTCCACATCCTAATCTGCATCCTTTACACACCTATTTCCTTGTGCATCAACAATAAAATAATGTATTATGTTTACATAACAGTTTGTATGCCCATATAATATAAATACCCTTCCATCATAGTCTATAAGCAGTCTGTTCTGAACAGACTGCTTAAAGACTATGATGGAAGGGTATTCGGGTAGACTTGTATCCCCAATACTTTTATAAAAAAAATTAATTAAAATTACAAAGACACAGAAAAGCAGAAATGGTTTTTCGTTCCTAGTTCCAGACCTCCTTTACTGGCGGTTTGCTTGCGATATTTGCTAATTATTGCTGCTTGTATCTTTCGGTGGTTTTCCTCAGTTTTTTTCGTATTTTTGTGATTTGGCGTGAATTCGAAAGATTCTAGTTTATTTAACTAAGGTAAGACAATTTTGACTACACCTCGCGTATTTATATGCTTAGTATTTTAATTATTTTGTTTGTCATAGCCGAGCATGGCATCGACAGTCACGCTTAAATATAACAGGAAATATTGTAGATTGTTTCTAAATTCAAGTGAATACGAGTTACACTGAGTTTAGCATGCGATTACACTTATATATAGAAAATTGAATGAAGTTATTTAATATATCTGTGATCTACACATTAAAATCATTGTGCATGATTGCTTTACATAGTTTTTAAATGTGCATCAGTGAATTTCACACTTATGTGATTTCTTATGGTTTTATGGTATCAATTATCAAGTCACAATGGCACTAAAAATATTAAAAATATAATATCCCAGCTTGTTCTATAATATTTACACATGATTCTATAATATTGCCTGTTTGCTTTCACTATATATAAATATTGTTAATTGCATGTCTCAATATGTTTTTTGTTTGTCTATGTCCATGTCCACGTCGTTGTCCTTGTCCTTTTTAATGTATGTGTATGTTTATGTCTATGATTATTAGAAAACGTAGAACATTTATTCATATGTTGTTATGTGGTATTTTAAAATTGTATATATGATAGAAGTTACGTTTAAATTATTATATTAGTAATATGATTGTATCATGCAGGACCCCACCGAAAAACACTATAAGGTGATGTGGGTATCCTGGTTAAATAAATATAATAATGATTCTTTAATATTGACTGTTTGCTTCCATGATTCTATAATATTGATTGTTTGCTTCTGTAGCGGCTTTCAGCTTGATTAAGCAAGAACAATAACAGGAACCTTTAGTAATTAGCGGTTAATATGACGCGGTAGCAAGTTCCGATTTGAAGCATGCAAACTTTGCATAAATCACTGTTTTCGCTTAGTTGGTTCTGTGCATTCATCAAGCACAGTCGCACTTAAAATTCGTGTCGTAAAGTACAAAATAAGGTACTCGTTTATAAGTATTTCGATTGAGGAAACCCACGGAAAAGGGTAGGATTTACCAATTAGAACTTTTGGGCCATACGAAAAAAGGTCGGAGTCTGGGTCGGTGACCTTTAGTGATTTTGTTAAGTTTGTTAAAGAGGAATCCGATATCGCTAACGATCCAGTTTTTTCACCGGATGCCTTAAAAAAAGAGAGAAAGTCGAACGAAAAATTAGATGGCAAGCCTAAGAGACGATATGGGATACAAACCAAGGCCGGTAGCTTTGCGTGTGCAACAAACAGCCAGCGAAACAAGCAGAATTTCTCAAATTTTGGATTGCAAAGACGACAAACGTTTTCGAAATGTCCTTCATGCTCTAAAGGCCACAGTCTGGAGAAATGCCCCGAATTTAAAAGTAAAACCCTGGACGAGAGGCGAGACTTCATGCTGAATCAGCGCCTATGCTTTGGATGTTTCAAAAAAGGACACTTGTCATCCGTTTGTCGATTGAGAATGAAGTGTGAAGAGTGTGGTAAACTGCATCCCACATTGTTGCATGGTATCAAACCAAAGAGGCATTCCACCAGCAAGGAAGAAAGGAATCTCCTGGCCAAGACGAGACAAATGATGACGACGACGCATCGCTATCAAACGAATCTGCAAATTCAGCTCGTATCTGTGGTTCGTCGAACGTTGCAGAAGACAGGATATTGTTACGGCCATGTTTGTTCCTGTGGCAGTCAGCCACAAAGATCGTCCGGACGTCGAAGTTAATGTCTACGCCTTAATCGACGACGGAAGTGATTCCACCTTTGTAAAGAACTCGGTGCTGAGAGAGCTTGGCGTGAATGGAACTGAAGTATCGTTAAAGCTCAACACCATGCATGGCAAAACCAGTGTTGCGGTGCAGAGAATCGATGGACTGGTGGTACAAAAGCTAGACAGAACTGAACAACCAATACCTCTTCCAAAGGCGTATTCAAGGGAAGCTATTCCATCGAGAAGAGAACAGATACCAACGCCTGAAGTAGCAAACAGATGGTCCCATTTCGAAGTTATAAAGGACGAGATACCGCCTCTGCAAGCAAGTATGGAGATTGGTCTGCTTATTGGCTGTAATTGTCCAAAGGCATTGAAACCGCAGAAGGTTATTCCCGGTGGTGAAGACGATCCGTACGCAGTGAAAACACGTCTTGGATGGGGTATAATCAGTCCAACAAACATGAAATGGTCGGCCAGCGATGAGTATTCTACATGCCACAGGATCGTAACCCGTGAAGTCGGAAGCTCAAGGCTGGCTGATAAATTTGTCCTAGACACTCGACCCAAATAAGTTATTAATCCAAAGGACATTAATATAGAATGTTTGAGCTCGACTTCTCAGAAAGGGAAGAACCAGCGCTATCAAGGGAAGATAGAAGGTTTCTAGAGATTGTAAAGAACAGAATATGTCATCAAGATGGAAAATACGAGATACCTCTTCCGTTTAAAGACCAGACTGCTAAACTTCCGAACAACAGGTCAATGGCGGTCAATCGATTAAGGCCTCTAAAGAAACGTCTCGAATCCAATGTGGCCTATCGAGAAGACTACCTGAAATTCATGCAGAAGGTCATCTACAGTGGCTATGCCGAGAAGGTTCCAGTGCAGCAAAGAAAGGTCACAGATAAACCCGTATGGTATATACCTCATCATGGCGTTTTTACCACCCAAACAAACCCAACAAGATACGTGTGGTGTTCGATTGTTCTGCCCAGTTCCACGGCGAATCCCTAAACAATCATCTCTTGCAAGGTCCAGACTTGACAAACAACTTGACAGGCATCCTATGCAGATTTCGCAGTGAACCAGTCGCTGTTATGTGCGACATCGAGGCGATGTTTTATCAAGTCAAGGTACCGGAGGCATGTCGAGATTTCCTTCGCTTTTTGTGGTGGGAAAACGGAGACATATCGAAAGAACCCAAGGAATACCGAATGACAGTTCATCTTTTTGGAGCAGCTTCGTCCCCAGGCTGTTCAAATTTCGCCCTTAAGTCAGCAGCTGATGATAACGAAGAGACTGTCGGCGAAGAGGCAGCCAAATTTCTTCGACGCAATTTCTATGTTGACGACGGATTAAAATCAGTATCGACCGTGAACGCCGCAGTTCAACTGATTCATGATGTAAAGGAAATGTGCAAACGGGGTGGGTTCAACCTCCACAAATTTACTTCAAATAGCAAAGAAGTCCTTGAACAGATCCCAGTGGGTGATCGAGCAGAAGAAGTCAAAAATCTAAATTTCGAGCAAGAAACTCAGTTGACGGAGCGAGCGCTTGGAGTTCTTTGGTCCATCGAGACGAACGTGTTCAAGTTCACCATTACTCTTAAAGAGCATCCCTGCACAAGACGTGGCATTCTTTCGACAGTGAGCTCCGTATTCGATCCTCTTGGATTCGTCGCACCAGTGCTTCTAGAGGGAAAATCGATCTTACAAGAGCTCTGTCGTATTAAACTTGACTGGGACGACCCAGTACCTGAAGATATGTGCATAAGATGGTGCAAGTGGAAATCCGAGCTAAAGGAGTTAGAGTTGTTCTCAATTCCACGTTGCTACAAGCCAAAGGCCTTTGGTCCCATCGCGAAATTCGAGCTTCATCATTTCTTTGATGCTAGTTTTAAGGGATATAGTCAGTGCAGTTACCTTCGCCTGGTCGACGTTAATGGCAAAGTCCATTGCTCCTTCGTTCTTGGAAAGTCGAGAGTTACGCCATTGAAAGTGGTAACAGTGCCAAGGCTGGAGCTCACCGCCGCAGTTGTTTCAGTGAAAGTGAGCGAGCAATTACATCGAGAGTTGGATATGATGATTACGAAAGAATTCTTCTCGACTGACAGTCAAGTAGTTCTGGGATACATTGGCAATTCGGTTTGACGATTCCACGTATTTGTGGCCAATCGAGTACAGCGAATACAAGAAAGCTCGTCGTTCGAGCAATGGGCATATGTCGACACGAAACACAACCCAGCAGACGAAGGTTCTTGGGGTTTACGGCCAAGCCAACTATCCAACTCTAAATGGATTAACGGACCAAACTTCCTGTGGAAAGACCAAGCCGCCTAGTCAGAGGTGATGAAAGCAAGTGGAGACAGCCTGGCACTCGCAGAAGATGACCCCGAAGTGAAAAAAGTTGTTTCCTTCGCCACATTTGCTGAAGCGCCGTTTCCTACGTTACTAGAGCGAGTCTCGTACTTCTCAGATTGGCATCGAGCGAGAAAAGCGTTTGCGTTGTGTCTTCGATATGTAAACATCCTTAAAACCAAAGTTAAGGGTGAAGAATATAAGTGCCGTAAAAGAACGAAGAACATACGTAAGAGAGCTATGATTCCCGTTTCTGTTGAAGAGTTAACGCCAAGCCGGAGTAATAATTATTAAAGCCGCTCAACGCCATGCTGCATTCTGCATTCTGCTGCATGTGACAAACCCTACTAATTAATACTCCTCTTCAGGTCACAATTTTCGGACAGTTTACATGGAACCTGTTGTCATTAGTGAATTGTCCAAACATCCTGGTAAGTCTACTAAAGCAGATAAAGCAGACAGGGCACAAAAGGTTGATAAACTGGCTCGAGCAAAGTCAGATGAGTCACAATTATCGGCCAGCAAGAAACGACAACTTTACAAAATGATTCAGAAGAATGGGGATGTCCTTTCTATTGACAGTGAAACAGGTTTGACCGATGTTGTTGAACATGAAATACCCACCGAAGGGAGCTCACCCAATTTCCCAACCACCTAGGTGGCTACGTACCATTTCATAAATTAGCTGATGTAGAGGATTTCATGCAGGATAGTCTTGCAAAAAGAGTTATTAGACCGAGCAAAAGCCCATGGTCCAGCCCACTCGTAATGGTGCGAAAAAGGACGGCACAACCCGATTTTGTGTGGACTTTTGCCAATTGAATGAGAGCACAGTTGGAGATTACTTTCCCATTCCCTGTGTTGATGATAGTTTGGATGTGTTGGGTAGGGCCAAGGTCTTTACTACGCTGGATTTAAGACTGAAGCATGTGAAATGGCATTTTTCACTCAGAAACACTGGCTCACATCTCTACCAGTCCTGGTATATGTCAACTTTAAGCAAGAATTCACTGTGGAGACAGATGCTAGCGATCTTGGCCTGGGTGCGGTTCTTACACAAGAAAAGAAAGTAATCGCTTATGCACCCCGAACACTTACTACCGTCAAAAATAATTATTCCGCCATAGAAAAGGAATGCCCTAAACAACCTGGCATATGGACTTTGTTGGCCCTTTGACCAAGACACGGGAAATAGGTTCATATTTTCCCTTACTGATCCACTCAGCAAGTGGGTAGAGGCTTTTTCAGTACCAGATCAAACTGCAAAGACCACTGCTGATGTAAACCACTGCGAGAAATTGTTTGTCAATATGGTACCCCTGAGGTTTCTATATTCCGACCAAGGCAAGAACTTTGAGTCAGAATTACTAAAAGAGCTACACAACCGACTAGATATCCGACAAAGTCGCAGCGTACCTTACAATCCCCAGTGCAATGGGCAAGTGAAACGGATGAATCTGAATATTGCAGGGCGTTTAGCAATGGAAATTGAGGACCAAATGGACTGGGACGAAAAACTGCCAATTGCATTGGCCGTAATTAGGACAACTAGAAGCACAACAATGGGACAGACGCCATTCTCTGTGATATTTGGTTTCACCTGCAGAAATAAAGCTGATATGATTGGCACTGAGAAACTAAACCAGCTTAAAGGGAAAGAAGCAAGGGACTTTCAAAAGTTCGAAATTTAATTATTAAAAAACGTCAGCATGAGTCACTCCTACGAGCACGAAAAGTCCATTTTAACCGCCTTAACCATGGGGAGAGAGTGTGGATTTACCATCCGAAGAAACCAAAGCTATGCCAAACCAAGGCTCAGCCAAGAAATTAGTCGGGGAACTGTTTCAGGGCCCTTATATAGTGATTAAACACATTGCAGATACCTCCTACAAAGTGAAACCTGTTTTACGAGGGGGAAGGAGAAGAGAGACCACAACGTTTACAGTCTACAAATAGCGAGGAGAGTTCAGATTCTGACGAACGAACTTAGACTCAGGAACTTACACTCGATATAGATAGTGAAGAGGTCCTTGGACCTCAGTTAGAGCCAGAACCTGCTGCTGCCCGACCACATAGAGAGACGAGCACCAGATGGGTATGGATTTAGCCAAGTTAACTTGCAAAGAGCATTAGAGAATGAACAAGCAGAAATTGGACCCTGAACTTTTGAATAGTTTAAGATAAGTATTAAGTGTTGTTTTGATATTGGATAGTCTGGAAGGGAGGAGTGTTACAGTAATATTAGTTATGTAAAAATGACATGAAGTATTTGTATAAAGAGGCGTGGAATAAGAGAGAACTGATGGAACTGGCTTGAGAACGGAGTGGACATAGAAATGTAGAATATAGATGTGTAAGGCATTAATCTTTTGAAAAGATCACATTGAATATACTCTTTATACGTAACTCTTTATAACAATACATATACGTATACTCATACACATATATACATATATATGCACATATACACACATAACGTATATACTAGTTTTTGCAAGACCCAGAACTATTCAAGATTTGACTTGAATATATTTTACTTTGAAAACTTCGTTCTGACCACAACAAACTTTGTCAAAATATTCGTCCTAAACCAGGACAACAGGACGAAGACGTTAAACCCTCACCACTGACCTTAAGCGGAGTATGCGCAAATGATGCGCAGACATTAAAAAGTTGTGAAGTTTGTCTTCGTCTTCATTGCCTTGCTCAAACTCCCTATTATCTTTCAAACAACTGATAGCTTGTTCCACTGGATTCAAGAACCCATTCTTGAGTAAGGTGGCAAAACCTTAATTTCTAGACTATCTGCAGGAGAGGTTGCTCCACGATGGACGGGCGCACCATCGAAAATAGCATAGTGTGTTTCGTTCTTGTTCAACTGCGCAGCTGTGTACACCAAAAACTCATTGAAAAGTTCTCCTGTCATAGCCCCCAATTGAATCTTCTGATAGATACACCCAAACAGCTGAGATATAGCCAACAAATCTGGCGATAAGCTCTGTCGCCTCGTTGCGAACACCCCTTGCTCTGTGATGTCCATATGTTAAACTGACACTTGTCAATAAAAACAGGATGGTGCAGATTTGCTATCTCCAAGAACCAGTGATTATAGTTGTCTTGCCATTGAATAACATCAGCTTGATTACGCCTGGCTGGAACTCTAGGGTATATATATATCTTCAGTGTATACAACATTCCCTCTAAATGTTTAGTTACTGTTTGCACATGCACAGCCTTATAGTCCAGGAGTCATTCTCTTAATTTTGCATTGATACCTTCCAAAGTCAGCATAGGATTCCCGTCGAGAATTACTTCAAGACACTGCCTCATCTCTTCATTGACTTTCATGTTATTATGCCTGCCATCCACTCTGTTCTCTGGTATAAAGTGTGCTACTATGCCGGGCAGTGGAATGGCTCACACCTAATGTGTCAGCAACAACAAAATAGTCCAGGTCGGGTTCCTCAAAAGCCCTCACCAGACATTCTCTGTCTTTTTGTGTAATTCTACATCTTCTCCCCTCAGCCATATGGTATGCTGTGATAAAACGCAATCCAAGTGAACTTCAATTCTGCTTAAGTTTACAATGGCATGAATGGGAGTTAAATTGAAAATACATTACTATTTAAATGATCTATGGGTTTTCCTTATTGTTATTCGTATCGCACCAATGATTCTTCCCTACATGCTGTTGTTATTTGACTGGCATATTTGAGCTTTAAAAGATGGCATAAATTAAATCCTTGTTTTATTGAACTTCCATTATACCCAATTGACATGTTAATGCTGTTATTGAAATTAGAACCGCACTATTAAGTATGCAATAAGCATAATTCAGTATTGTTTTTCCCTTAATGAAGGGCAAATGCCGTACATAACATTGGAGCACATATTTGTGATGGTGTAAGTTATGGTATGGGCGTGGAGCTGTTTTGGGTTTGAAGACAGTATACCATTCATGGAACTGGGAATGTCTCCAAGCAAATTCTGCATTACAGGTCAGCTCTGAGCCTATTACGCACTTTATCTCTGCATCAAAATGCAAGCCAAAATCCATCGAAATGGAAAGCAAAGCTGGCAATTGATGATTGTGTTTTACCAGAAACTCTGAGGAGTTTAACTACTGATGGACGTACAGCATTCATTGTGCAAAAGGCAGGGGCATCCAATGCAGCTACAGCAAGTGCATTGAGTACAAGTATGTGAAAAAAAAGCTGTACACTAGAATAAACTCTTAACAAGAACAGGAACTTTGGTATGGGTTAGCATTTTATTCTGGACATTAACCAAGGCAAAGTGTATGCTTTTGTCAAGATTGTACATGAGAAACCCACCTTAATAGCATCTGGCAATATGATTGGAGGGAAGTATCTTCAGTGTGTAGATGTAGCGGATGATATGGATCTAATTCCCATTCATGAGACAGAGGAGTTGATTTTTATTCAAACTGATCATGCAGGATGTTATGTTATTCACAACCCTAATCTGCATGGTCACACTGTTTTTAAATTATGGGTGTTAACATTAAGGTATGCGGAAATAATACTGAGGTCCACAAAATAGGATATGGCCAGTTTTAATTAAAATATTAATTTGAAATTGCTCTTGAAATGTTTAACACAAAAATAAATGAGCATGATAAAAAATATATCCATGATTTGTTCTAGATTTGTTCACAAAACCAGCACATGAACTTTTGATGAATTTTGATGAACATTAGAAAATTATTTTTATTCATGATTTATTCTTAGTTTGTCCATGAAACCAACGCACAAACATTTTATGAATTTTGA